TGATAATGACAAATTATTTCAAAAATTTTTTTAGTTAAATTTTTACATGAAATGAATAGTTCATCAAACTTCTTGTCGACACTCCACAATAAAAGAGTGTGGTTGAAAGAAAAAGCAAATTTATTGGAAGTGGCTCGGGTATTACTGTTTACTAATTAGGTGCCAAAATATTTTTTTGAGGCGAAACGACTTTTACTTTTACATTCATCATAAATAGAACACCCAATTAGGCTTTAAACTTTGAAGCACCTTTTAATATTTTTTATAAATTTACCAAAAAAATTGACTCTCGTGTTCTTTACCTTTAAAGATGCTTGGGTGCATTGCATTTATTCACATTCATAGTCATAACTAAGGAAAACTTAGAACCCAAGCTAAAAAGGTGTTTGTTGGCTATGCTCCCACTCAAAAGCGGTATAAGTCTTTGTTCCTATTTCTAAGAAAAATATTTGTTACCATTGAAAAATATTCTTCTCATTTTCAAAAACAAAAATTTGTCTATTATTTTTTATGATATTTTTTCAAACCGAATATTCACTAAATAGTCCTCTCCAACCTTGATTATTCTACCTCAAAATTCAAGTTATATTATATTAGATGAAAGTGGGTTGAGTTTCTTAGATATTGAGGATGATTCAAGCTAGTCTGCAATGTCATCTCGTGATGTTCATGATCATATAACAAAAAACTGAGAGGAAATATAAAAAATAACTGCGACATTGGTACCATTTGACTTGTTTACTCGCCTGAGGGCTATTCAAAAGTAATATTCTACGAATCTTTTGCATTGCATAAAATTCATAAATACTCCAGGTAGTAATGTCCTCACCAAGCTTTTTTCCCATATTCAGTCCAGTTAATCTTTCATTTTTGAGCGTTCTAGTCTTGAACCTTAGTCTAGTTCTAATTCCAAGTCTAACGATTCTAGTCTTCTTACTACTGCTATAAGGTGGTAAGATCTTTCCCCCAACATTTATTGTTTTATTATGTGTTATATGAAGATCTCTCTCCCATTTTTCCTACTTTCACCCTCACAATTTTCTTATATGGAGACTCCTACTACTATTTAGGGTGTTCTAAAATTTCCCAAGTAGAAGGAGGCTATCTTCGAGGAGGTAAAGCTTTTGAAAAAATTGGCACATGTGAATTGCTGGATTTACCTAGAGGGAAGACAACTGTAAGGTGCAAGTGGGTGTTTATAATCAAGTATAATTCTAATGGCTCTCTAGAATAGAACAATGCTCGACTGGTTGTCAAGGGATCCACTTAGGACTACGACATTTTATTATTTAAGGGCATTTGCTCCAATCACAAAATTAAATTTAATAAAATATCTTCCATCACTTCTAGCTATGTTAATTGACCCCTATAATAATTAGATATAAACTTCTCTGTGGGGAATTAGAAGAAGTGTACATGAACACACCTCCAGGTTTTAATGAGAAGTTCAACACAAAGGTGTGTAAACCAAAAAGGTCTTTATAGAGGCCTGAAACAGTCACAAAGAGCGTGATTTTAAAATTACTCTGCTTGTTAAAGTCAGGTGAATGCTAAAGAGTAAGAAGATCCTACAATATTCTTTAGACATTTAAAGGATGGGAAGATGACCATATTGATTATGTACGCGGATGATATAATTTTCATCGAAGATGATGTATATGAGATGCACCATTTGAAAACTTCTCTTACATCAGTTTTTGAGACCAACAATTTATGATATCATTGGTATTTCCTTGGCATGGAGATTATTTTATTAAAGAAAGAGATCGTTGTCTCCAGATGGAAGTATGTTCTTGATCTTTTAAAGGAAACGAGTTGAGTGGCTGTAAACCTACAAACACTCTAATTGATCCCAATTAGAAGCTGAGAGATGAGAAAGAAAGTGATATAGTGAATACAGTTCGATATTGGTCGGAAAGTTGATACACTTATCACATAGTCGGTCAAAATATTGCTTTTGCTGTGAGTTTGATATGTCAATTTATTAATTCTCCCTATGAGAAATAGCTTGAAGCAGTTAATAAGATTCTTAGACATCTAAAAAGCTCACCATGCAAGGGCTTATACTTTCAAAAGAAGACACAACATAACATAAAAGCATACACTTGCAGATTTGGTTGGTTCAGTTATTGATTGGTGATTGACTTCCGAATGCTATACCAATGTCCCGAGAATGTTGGTTACATGGCAAAGTAAGAAATATAATGTGCTGGCGAGGAGCAGTGCCAAGGCAGAATATATGGCTATAACTACTGATGTATGTTAAATGTTATGGTTGAAGTGAATTCTTGGAGAACCGCAGATTCCGATAATCATGCAAATGAAGTTGTTTTATGACAATAAAGCTGCCATAAGCATTATAAAAACTTTAGTGCAATACGATCATACAAAATATGTGGAGATTGAGAGACACTTAAAAAAAAAGATCGATTATGGAATTATTTGCATGCTATTTCGTCCTCCTGCTTAACAAATAAAGTTTATGTTCACTAAATGAATTTTCAGGCTTTGTTTTGAGCTTCTTGTAACTAAGTTGTGCATGATAGGTCAATGCTCAACTTTTGGTTGGGGGTTGGGGGGGTGGGGGGGATTTTTAGGAAATTATATTTTAATTATATTTTATCCTCTATATATCATGCTTTTAAAATTTTCTATTGTAGATAATTTCTAATTTTTAAAAAATTTCTTTAGCATGAGGATTTTGTGGCTTATCTAATTTGGTGATCTCCTGTTGCTATTTATCTTGAAAATCTTTCCTATTAAATAGAAGAGGAATAATCATTTTTTAATCTCCCAAAAACTACAGAAGTTAATCTTATCGTATTTTCCTCTAGACCGCAATCCAATGGTCCAAATCTCCCATCTAATTTGTTGATCTTATCTCACTATTTATCTTGTAAACGTTTCCTATGAAAATGAAGATGAATAATTATTTTTTACTCTCCCTAAAACTAGAAAGATTATACAATCCCTATTTTTCTTTAAACCGCAATCTAATAGTCCAAATCTCGCAGCTCTCGATACTGATCTCCAGACATCTTATTGATGAACCTTCTTCGGTCATGGACTTCTATTGGTTGGGTTTTCATTCTTAATGGTGTGATCTGGGAATCATTACTATTGCCAGTCTTCATCAAGAAATCATGTCATAAAAATTTCAGCAATGATGATTTGGCTTCTAAATCACGATCATGTATGATCTGATTGATTATTTTCTTGATTAAAACCTTGAATCATTGCATGTGATAAATTATGGTTGTTAATAAGTAATCCAACAATCATAACTTCACTTGAATGGATGAAGTCTTAATAATTGAATCAGAACAAAGTGTCGTAACTTGTTGACCTATATCCAGCAGTTGCAACACTATTCCTAGACTCTAAACTATTAAAGCTAAGTACCTGATTGGGATGACTTTCTGATTTTTGTTTTTGTTTTTGTTGGTACTTTGTTTTGTTTTCTGTTTTTTTATTTTAGAATACGTGTTTGGCACACTTATGATTTATATGTTTTTAAAAATAAAAAAAAATATAAAATATGTTTGGTTGTGCATTTTTTTAATTTTTTTTAAACCATTCTTTTTAAAAAATTATTTAAACATAATTGGAATTTAATTTAATTTTTTAACATGTTAATTAATTTTTTTTGATGAATTATTGGAAAATTTTAATTAATTAATTATTTTATTAAGTTAAGGTTTTGTGAAGTTGAAGTTTTTAATTGATTTAAAATTTTATGGATTAATCAAAATTTCAATTGATTTAATTAATTAATTATTATTTTAATTAAGTTGTTAGGGTTTTATTTAATTATTATATATTTAATGATATGCTTAAATAATTTAAGGTTTTAATTTTATTATTATTAACTTAATTTAATGATTAATATTTTATTTGAATTTTCATGCATTTAATTGATTAATTATTAAGTTAATTAAATAGATTTATTATTAAATTGAGTAATTATAATTAAATTTATTTAGGTTACATTTAAATAATTAATGATTTAATTGGATGATTATTAGTTTAATTAAGTATTTTGTTAATCCGTTGAATTTAAATAATTTTAATAATTCCATTAATTTATTAATGAATTAATTAAGTTTAGGAGTTAATTGTGGATCAATGGCTTAATTTGGTTATGTTGATTTCGGCCCATGATGATTAAGCTAATTTAAGGTTTTAGGACAACTCTGAAAGTCATTTTTGAAACAGCGATAACACAATTTTTATGTTTTTGATGTTTTGAAAACATGCCTCGTGTTTCAAAAATAAAATTGAAAAAAAACAAATAAGAAAATACTATGTGTTTCAAAAATAAAATTGAAAAAAAACAAATAAGCAAATACTATTTATTTATTTTTTGTTTTTTTTAAAAAAGAAAAAAAAAGAAAGTGACCCCAAATAGGGCCTATGGTTTTTTTTAACTTTTTGGTCCATGCTCTAAACGATAACATGTTGGATTATGAAATCTTGTGGTCTTGATAAGCTTTACTTTCATCCGTATAGCCGTTTACCTGGTACAATATGATTTATTGAAATGGTGATGTATGCAACCACGTGGAAAGCAAATATATGAAATTTGAGCTCAGTGAAGCCTATTATCGAAGTATTTTCTAATTGTAGCGATAATCAAGTATGGGGGCATTTACTCTGGATAAATAATCTAATCGAAACATTGAAAACAAGTGCTAAATCTGTTTGATCAATTTATTTTATGAAGTTCTTTTATGAATTGTTTAAACTAAGATTATTTTCTATGAGATATTAGTACCCAGATTTGAAGATATTAAAAAGTATTTCATTCCTCTTTACCTGTATGCTCTCAAGTGGCTGCTAGATTTGCCTTCTGCAACAACAACTAGCCTTTTTCCCACTAACTGGGGTCAATTACATGAATCCTTTCTTTCCATTGCGTCCTATTGAGACTGGCTTTCCTTCGCAACTTTACAATTTTCTTCGTTGTTCTTATTGATGACATTATGGTTATATTTATACAGCATAATACATCAACTGGGCCAAGAGCTGGAGCATGATGAAATGAGAAATTATAGGCATCAAGTGGGTTCACCATTAACCAATTCCCCTCCTGGTATTTTGGCTGTGCTACAATACTGTCATTATTCTGACAATTTGTAATGTTGTACCTGTTGTTCTAATCTAAAATTCGTACCTTTTGTTGGTTCTTATGTTATTGATTGGCTTTCATATTAACGATAGGTACATGGGCACAGTTTAGCAGTCCAGCTGATACTAGTCCATTAAAATCTTCGGTCTTGGGTGGTGGAAGTCATTTTACCACTAACCAATTATCAAACTCCATGAAGATTGCACCTATTGGAAAAGAACATAATAGGATTAATCGTGCTGAACCCTTGCTATCTAACTCATTTCATGGCATCCCTTTCCATCAATCTCATTCATTTCCAGAGAGTGCAGGAGGCTTAATACCAAATTTGAGTTGTAGTTCTTGCATCATGGCTTCTTCTGGTTCTCCGGCTTCAAGTTCATCTGAAATTGAAACGTTAACTGGGCCTCAGTTTCTATGGGGCAGTCCAACTACGCGTACTGAGCATAAACAGTCTTGTGCTTGGTCTAGGTCATCTCTGGGACAGGCATCATTATCTAGTGGACAGGTTCATGGCTTCCCATATTTAAGTCATCGTGGGTTCTTTTCTGCTTCACACCATCATGCTGGATCTGCTCCTTCTGGTATTCCTTTTGAGAGGCACTTTGATCAATTAAATGAGGTGTCTGATTCATCTCTTTTGAGCTCAGCTTCCTTTGGAAACACGGGTATTTACCCCCCAAGGCGACCAATTAACACAGTAAGCTCGTTGTATGGAAGTATCTCTGAGAGTACTTCACCTGGGTTCAGAATGGGCCCGGGATATATCTTTCCTGGGAGCTTGCAATATGCTGGCCATGGATCCACTGGCTTGGAAGGATTTACTGAACGTGGCAGGATGCGCAGACTTGACAATAATGCTATTGAACTTGAAAGTAAAAAGCAATTTCAGCTTGATCTTGACAGGATTATTAACGGGGAAGACACCAGGACAACGTTAATGATAAAAAATATTCCAAATAAGTATATTTCTTTTTTTGGAAGATTTACATTGGTACCATTTACTTCTTATGTATTTGCATATCTGAACACTGAACTTCAATTTTTACATGCATGCCACCTTACATATGAATGAAAAGTGTACTCACTTCTTAAAAAAATTAAGTAGTGGTATTTTTGGTGTATTATGAAAGATTTTGGTGGTATATATGTAAAAAGTTAAGTTTAGGTGTTAGATACCTAATTACATAAGAATTAGGTGGTATTTATGTGAATGCTCCTTTATTTTTTCCCTCAAGTCATGCAGACTTACGTGAACCTTAGCATGTTTGACCTGCATTCTATTTGCTTCAGGTACACCCGGGAGATGCTTTTAGCTGCTATAGATGAAAATCACAAGGGTACTTATGATTTTCTTTACTTACCCATTGACTTTAAGGTAATTTTTATTTTAATGAAGAGAATTAATTTTTGTTTTGTCCCTTTATACTGATTTCATAAATATCAATGGCAGAACAAGTGTAATGTTGGCTACGCTTTCATAAATATGGCATCTCCATCACACATCATCTCATTCCATCAGGTATCAGTTTTCCTTGAGGTCCTTATTTCATGTTTATATTAGACGTACACAATGTCTTGTTTTTTGAAGTTGTTTGGTATATCTCTTATTTATTTATTCATGACATTTACATTCATACCACCCAATTCATATGTATTCATAAATATATTTACATAATTAGCACCTAAATGTTAACTTTCTACATTTATACCACACAAATCTTTTATATCACATTTAAGAACACAACTATTTCAATTTTTAAAAGAGTGAAATACACCTTTTCATGCATAGACAGAGTGTTATACATGTAAAATTAAAATCTTGTTGTTAAATATGTAAATATATAAGAATTGAGTGGTATTTCATGAATGTCAGTCTGTTATATAAAAACCTGCCACATCCGGATTGAACATGAACTAGTTAATAGCCTTACCACGGAACTGGAAATGATTTGTTTTGAGAATTTGCTCCATCCCAGGCATTCAGTGGAAAGAAATGGGAGAGATTTAATAGTGAGAAAGTTTCCTCTTTGGCATATGCCCGGATCCAAGGAAAAGCAGCACTAGTTGCCCACTTTCAGAATTCAAGCTTGATGAACGAAGACAAAAGATGTCGCCCCATTCTCTTTGATTCTGAGGGCATGGAGTATTCAGATCAGGTGCTCTTTTTGAGACTATTAATTACAAGTTAAAATATTAGAAATTTGCAAAAGCACAAAACCAAGAATATATATATATATATATATATATACAAGTGGAAGTTTTGCTATATATATATATATATAAAGCAAATAATACCTCATGCTTTGCCTTATTCAACTACCTACCTAGTTTTCCTGATGAATTAACCATGCAGGAACCCTTCCCGGGAAACAGCATAAACCATGGTTCCCCGCACCAAGAGGGGACTACAACTGGAGATTTATTCGTAATTGGTGAGAATTTTGATAAACTTGATAATGATAGGTTGCTCATAGGCGGCTTTGGAGAAAGATAGGCTCGTCGAAAACTTGATGATTCTAACCAAGCATCAATATGTAAAGTGTAAAAAACTGATAGCAGTAAATATTGTGGTGGAATTGTAAAAATGGTGCACACATCCACTTTTGAAGCGATGGATGCGCTTGACATGTCATCACTCCTCATCATTGGGATCACTAATACTGTTTTTGTGACGAAATCAACATTCCAGTGGATTGTATAGGAATAAGTTGGCAAGTGTAAATATGAAATTGTTTTGTTTGAACTGTTGGTATATATTATCAAACCGGTTTTCTTCATTTTGTTTTCCTTTTGGTATCTCAAGATATCTGCACATATTGTCTACATTTACATTGAGAGGAGGGAGGATTTCTGGTATGTACATATTCAAGACAAACTCTCTGTATTTGAATGTTGTTGCTGGAAAAAGAGTCATTTTATTTTGTATTTCTGGTTTTGCGTTGCTTTTGCTGTTGGTATAAAAGCTGCAGCTGAGTTCTTACTGATGCAAGTTGTATCATAATTTTTAGCGAAATTAGAGATTGTTGCACTATTTCGATTTAATAAATTCGATCGGTCTGTTGCTTTTCTTCAAACTGTTGCTTTATCTTCTTTCCTTTCGTGCTAGTAAAGTTACAGAAGTATATTTCAACAATGAAGGTCATGTTATGGTTATTAGCTCCAGATTACCACATCCCTGAATTTGACATGTAGCATGGCTATAAAAGTCATAAATATATGTTTTAGTTTGGGAAGTTTAGATGCTGTGTCATCGTATATGGTGAGAGAGAGAGCGCTCTAAAAAGATTTATAGCCATTTGTCTACATACCACACTATTCTTATGTATATACACTTCTAACATTTAATCTTTTATATTATATTTATAATACCCACAATTTTAATTTCACATAAAAAATGTCACAATTGTTAACTTTTGAAAAAGTGAAATACACCTTTTCATACATATGCAAATAATAATTTACTGTAGATATGTAAATACATATAAGAATATGTAACGTGTAAATTTTCAAAATATTTATTATTTCACATATCAATTCAAGAAGCTGAATCTCTGAAACTCTCTAAAACGAAACTTATGTGAAAAATTGTTCATTTCGGTCCGTCTATGTCACCGTTGAACCGATGTAAATATGGGTGGGAGATTTAAGATGGCTCTTGATATTAGAGCGAGAATTTTAAGAATGGTTGCAAGGAGCTAGATTTGTAAATGTCAATGTTTTGACAATTCAAGAAGCTGAATCTCTGAAACTCTCTAAAATGAAACTTATATGTGAAAAATTGTTCATTTCGGTCCGTTGAATAATTTACTGTCTATGTCACCGTTGAACCGATGTAAGTATGGGTGGGGGTTTTAAGATGAATCTTGATATTAGAGCGAGAATTTTAAAAATGGTTGAAAGGAGCTAGATTTGTAAATGTCAATGTTTTGGGCATTATGCTTGTAAATGTCCCATATATTATTTACTTGTAGCTTCACAGTATCAGTATACAAAATCTATGTATACGTGTTTAATGTTGAACTCTATTCTGTAAATATTTAATATATTTATGAGATGTTAACTTGATTCAGTGTAGTGGATACATAACATTTTCAAGTTACTTTGTCATAGAGGAATCTAAGGAACATTTATGCTTGTATGAATGAAAGAATCTATGTAAATACTCTGCATAATGTTTTGCTCTGGACAATATTTGAACTAACTATAATTTTTCTTGTTTAGTTTGCACTAATCATAAAAAATTTTTGGTACAAGAACTTGTTTGTAAAGTCGATGTAATAATTAATCTAGCAATTAAGTGGATGATGTTGAATGAAACCTTAAAAAGATAAAAACGTTACTAACATTTTCGGCATCAAATATGTTTGCCAAATCAATTAAGAAGTAACAATAAATGAACACAAATGTAGTTGGAGATGGACAAATATTTCTTTTAATGGACACATTATTGATAATAAATGAAGAGTTTTTATGTATGGACACATCACTATGAAATTTCATATCACATTCTCAAGGAAAAGCACATTAACAGATTATATAGTTAAAATATCAATCATGATTGCATGTTCTTAGTTACACGTATCACTATTAAGTTATTCTCACTTTTTAATAATTATTTAAAAATTTTATTTTCTTACCTCTCAATATAATATTTTAGGCTATATTCATAATATAACTTTCTTTGTCATCATAATAAAGAATCTCCACTATTTCAAAATCTAATCCTCAATTAGTAAGCCTAAAAGATCAACAGTTTTATGTTATACAACGCACAATTCTAATGTAATTTCATTGTCACCTCATGTATGCATTAAAAAGCTGTATTTCACCTTTAAAGTATCAAAATTATTTTACTTTTGATGTGATATGAAAATTTTGGGCGTTATAAATATAAAAATTT